TTGTCCATGTTGCTACCTAAGCCGTAGTGAAACCCATCGATACATCCTCTACGATCTGTGTTGATCAACACCAATGCCGTCCTCATGAGTCGGTGCCTTGAACATTGATTAAATGCATCACATAATATCAAAATTGGATTTACGAAACAGAAGTGCATCGCTTGAGCTACTCCACAATGGACTTGTTTGACCCTGGTCCTGGTTGTTATGATGATCTTTAGTGACTGAATGAGTCGTCCAATCCCGTGAATAAGGTTCACAATAACTACAATCAGTACTATGCTACCTGTAGCTTGATATAAAAAATCAACCAATATCAATTATCCCACAGCACTACTCACTAGTAACTGTGAGTTAAATGCGAATTATTAACCCAGCCTGGTAGGTTTGTGGTCAGTTAGCCCGTAAACTGCATGCATGACCTGACTTGGTGGAACGCTTTAGATTGAAGTTCACAGATAGTCATTTGTGTCTCCCTTCGTTGCTGTCGGGTCAACTAATCTAACTGACCATCACCGAAGACGATACCTGATCAAATATGAATTCGCAGTTTGGCTCAGCTCTGACATGAGCTGATTGTCAGAGAGATAAAACAGACGCCTTCCATGTGATGCTTCTGGAGTTCAAATCCCGGACGGGACGATGGATATGCACAAATAATGAGCTCTAATAAGAGCGAAACTTGAATCTAGTGCTTCTCAGTGTATGATTCACCGAATGAGTTGAGGAATAAGCGTGAAGGTGAAGTCTGAAGGATGGTCAGTTCCAATCAATCAATATTAATATTATCCCACAAAACTACTCACAAGCGACTGTGAGTTTAATGCAAATAACAACAAACATTATTCGGGAAATTCAATGGAAATGAGTGATCTATACTGACAAGTCGATGGTGCTCCCCTCTTTCGGTTATATCTATCTTACACATGTCTGTGTCGGACCGTTGCACAAAACGATTTCACATCCTAGAGTCATTACCAAAAGCTTGATTTTCTGCAATTTTTACTTTAGCGAAGTTCTATCTCCAATCGCAGCACCCAGGGACTGCACAGACTAGGAGTGTGGTTGTTTTTTTATCGGATTGCTAACACAGAAGGAAAACGTATTTGGAATAATAGACGACAAAAGTACATCGTTTTCAACAAAAAAACAGGCAAAATATCAAAAAATGGGTCACATTGATCGCCGGACTGTTCTACGGATATATGAATATCCCGGCTTTTCTCTTTTCTGGCAGGATTTTTCTTATTCAGAAGTTGAGAGGATGCTGACAACGAATGAGGAAGACAACTTAGTCTCTCATCAAGAATTGTCTTTTTCGGTGACAGAGATTCACACAAACTGTCAGACAGGTAGAATGACGCATTGATCATTCAATGCGACAGATTTGGAGGATACGTTCATATAGAATAGTCAGAAGCTAACAAATCAACTCTAAAAGCTGGTAGTCTAGATCAATTATGCGGAATCGCTTGTGCAGAGAACCTATGTGCGCTAGATCTGATGGGCCTCCAAGTGGACAGAAAGTAGCAACATGCAAACAGACTGATTTTTTTAATGTCGGAATGCTCATGTTCACTTTTACCGAATGCAGTGGACATACAGCGGTGTTGGATTTAACAAATTGGAAGGGTTTATACACCACTCCGCTTATATCTGTAGATCTCTCTCTCTGTGACCGAGGGGTATGCAAAACTAACGGACTGATCAGACAACGCGCTGGAGCTATCCTGTCCGGGCAGTGCAGCAAAACCTCTCGGTAGAAAGTGTCGAAAAATTTCCACGAATTGCTATTTGAAACAGAAATGTTATGTCGTTGTTACTACAACCGGGGTTTCGAACCCCCATCGCTCAATTGGTAAATGCAAAACATCACATCCAGTCATACCTAAGATACTTTGTCCAATAATGCTTATTTATGTGAGCAGTACTTCAAAATACGTCAATCCCGGTGTGGATGGACTTCAGGTTAACGTAATGGAGCACGCTAAAGACTGGTGGTATCGATTATGCTGAATTATTTAACCGACTCTCTTAAAGGTTTCACTTCTGCAAAACTTTATTCATTGATTGGTCACCGGAATGTTTGATATACAAACAGCGAAAGGTGACAGAGCTTGACTGGCTCTCTACAACATAAGTTGACCAATCAGATGAGAACAAATCAAGTGGAATACATCAATCAATGAAATGGTTTTTATTTTCACCGAGTTCAGCGTTTGACAATCATTTTACCTTAATTCTGTCCCAAATCAACCGCAATCCTATCACAACAATTTTTTTCTTTGAATCTGTTATCTTTTGATGAAAATTTGTTGTCTGAACTTCTATGACCAGAATCGCAAACCGTTTACAGCTTTTCATTCTGCGTGTTGTCGGCAGGCTACACTCTTTCACGGGTAAATTTTATCAAACTGTTCTGGTAGATAGCAATTTAACCAATCCGTTTGCTGTATGTTATTGATTTATCGCTATGGATTATTAAGTTAGGGGAAAGTGGCTGTCTCACGGTTTGACTAAACGTGTTACTCTCCTTCCCTGGATGGATAGATTAATGAAGTGTATCTGTATTGTCCCATTACTCAGCCGACAGAGAGAATAACTAAGGACGATCATCTCTAATTGCGCGCACAATCAACTATTTTAATTAATTATTCAGATCTATAGTCAACAATAGCATTGCTCTTTCATTACTGAGTACACTTATCTCCGACCAGTTTCGTTCAAAGAGATTAGTCTCGGCCATCTCAGACCAATTGTTCATTCTATCTACCCTTCTGTCGACTTTTTTCCAAGTAAAACTATTGGTTTTAAGTTGTACTGGGGAGGTTTCAGAGAAAACCCCTGCCATCCGGCAATAAGACTATCAACCAATAAACTTCGTGTACCCGCCATTTCTATTTGAACAACATACTTGTGATTATCTTTCATGATCTATCTGATCGAATAAACATGGCATCCGAAACAGAAACACCATAAGAGTACTATGGTTTCTTAGGAACATTCAGTAACGCATATTTACCAAACCTTGTG